CATTTTACCAATAGGAAATTAACTATAACCTCAGGTGAGCCCTTGTTGAAATAGAATCTGAATTTCTTTTTGATCAAGATAGGCAATAGCTTCCCATATTTTTAAGCTGTTTGGAATTCTCTAAACTGTCAAATTATAAATCACTATCATAAATTACCAATTAAGTTCATTACCAACTCATAAAATAATTTAATCAAGTAATTTAGTTCAACAGAATTTAATAAGTGACTGCAATATGTAATAGCAGTCCCAAAAAGTATCCATGTTATCTGCAGGCAGAAATAAATAAAAGGGCTATTTACTGACCTAAAGGTAAAAGATCAAACTTTTGTTAGCTCTTCCTTTCCAAGTAGCATATGGACCCCAACAGTTAGTTTTTCAACCACTTTTCAAATACGGTATAGTAAAAATTTGATTGGAAAAGAATGAAAATGAAGCATACCTCTGATGAACAGAACCTCATAATAAATGCTGATAAGGGAGCCTGACTGGCTCAGCTAAGCGTCTGACTTTAGCTCAGGTCATGATCTCATGGTTTGTGGGTTTGAGCCCCATGTCGGGCTCTGTGCTGACAGCCGCCTCAGAGCCTGGAGCCTGCTTCAGATTCTGTATCTCCCCTTCCCTCTACCCCTCCCCCCCTCATGCTCTGTTTCTCTCTGTCTCAAAAATAAACAAACATTGGGGCGCCTGGGTGGCTTAGTCGGTTAAGCGTCTGACTTTCGCTTAGGTCATGATCTCGCGGTTCGTGGGTTCTGGCCCCGCGTCGAGCTCTGTGCTGACTGCCAGCTCAGAGCCTGGAGCCTGTTTCAGCCTGTGACTCCCTCTCTGACCCTCCCCTGCTCACGCTGTCTCTCTCTCTCCCCCCTAGAAATAAATTTTAAAAAAACATTAAAAAATAAATAAATAAATAAACATTAAACAAATAAAATAAAATAAATGCTGACAGGATATGCTTAAGAATACAAAAACAAGTCCAAAATAATTTTATCCCACTTTTTGGTGGGATAATTTTTACTCTGGGCTGTCTTGACCACATTTTTATAGTTAAAGATACCAAAGTAACTTAACTAACAGTGAAAGATTTATATACTGAAAACTACAATACATCAGTGAAAGAAAGCAAAAAAGACACAAATGGAAAGACATCTTATGTTTATGGATTAGAAAACTTAATATTGTTAAAATGACTGTACCACCCAAAGTGAGCTACAGATTCAATGCAATCCCTATCAAAATCCCTAAGACATTTTTTATAGAAATAGAGAAAACAGTTATACAATTCATATGAAACCACAGAAGACCATAAATAGCCAAATAAATCCTAAGAAAGAAGAACAAACCTGGAAGCACCACATTTTCTGATTTCAAAATATATTATGAAGCTATGGTAATCAAAACACTATGGTACTAAAGACAGCTATATAGACCAATGAAACAGAATAGAGCCCAAACATAAATTCACACACATACAGCCAATTGATTTTTGACAAGGGTGCCACAAATACACAATGTGAAAAAGATAGTCTCTTCAACAAGTGGTGCTGGGAAAACTGGATATCCAATGCAAAATAATAAAATTGGACCCTTATACCATAAACAAAAATCATCTCAGGCACCCGGTGGCTCAGTCAGTTGAGCATCCAACTTTGTCAGACATGATCGCATGGTTCATGAGTTCAAACACCACATCAGGCTAGGTGCTGTCAGCACAGAGACCACTTCACATACTCTGCACCCCCTCCCTGCCTCTCCCTTGCTTGCATGCTCTCTCTCTCCAAAACAAATAAACATTTTTAAAAAATCAACTTGGGGCACCTGGGTGGCTCAGTCGATTAGATGTCGGGCTCTTGACTTCAGCTTAGGTCATGATCTCACAGTTCATGGGTTCAAGCCCCACATCAGGCTGTGCACGGACAGTGCGGATCCTGCTTGGGATTCTCTCTCTCCCTCTGTCTCTGCCCATTACCCACTCATGAGTTCTGTTTCTGTCTCTCTCAAAATAAATAAATAAACTTTTTAAAAAGTTGTTTTTAAAAATCAACTTAAACATAAGACTTAAAATTGTAAAACTCAGAGCACCTGGGTAGCTCAGTAGAGCATGATTTCAGCTTAGGTCATAATCTCACAGTTGGTGGGATTGATCCCTACAGTGGGGTCTACACTGACAGTGTGGAGCCTGCCTCGGATTCTCTCTCTTCTTCTCTCTCTCTCTGCCCCTTCCCCCAATAACTCTCTCTCTCTCCTTCTCTCTCAAATAAACTTAAAAAAAAAATTTTATTGTCAAACTCTCAGAAGAAATCCTTCATGATATTGGTATTGGCAATTATTTCAGGCAACAGGCAACAAAAACAAAAATAAACAAGTGAACTTAATTCCATCAAACTAAAAACTTCTGCACAGCAAAGGAAATAATCAATAGAGTGAAAAGGCAACCTATGGAATGGGAGAAAATATTCACAAACCATGTATCTGATAAGGAATTAATCTCTAAAGTCTATAAACAACTCCTACAATTTATTAACAAGAAAACTAATAATTTGATTTCAAAAATGGGCCGAGGACTTGAATAAAAACTTCTTCAGAGGCGCCTCGTGGCTCAGTCAGTTAAGCTTCTGACTTCTACTCAAGCCGTGATCTCACAGTTTGTGACTCTGAGCCCTGCATCAGACTCTCTGTTGACTACTCAGAGTCTGGAGCCTGCTACAGATTATGTGTCTCCTTCTCTTCCCATTCACACACTCTCTCTCTCTCAAAAATAAATAAACATTAAAAAACTTTTTAAAAACTTCTTCAGAGAAGACATACAAATAGCCAACAGGTATATGGAAAAATGTTCATCATCATTAATCATCAGGAAAATGCAAATCAAAACCATAATGAGATATCATCTGATACTATTAAAATCATTATTATGAAAAAAGAAACAAGCAAATGAAACAAGTGTTGGATAGGATGCATAGAAATTGGAACCTTTTAACACTGTTGGTGGGAATGCAAAATGGTGCAGCTTCTACGGAAAATATAATAGAATTTCCTCAAAAAAATGAAAGTAGATGGAAAAACATCCCATGCTCATGGGTTGGAAGAATAAACATTGTTAAAATGTCATTACTACCCAAAGCAATCTACATCTTCAATGCAATCCCAATCAGAATTGCACCAGCATTCTTCTGAAAACTAGAACAAATTATCCTAAAATTTGTATGGAACCACAAAAGACCCCAAATAGCCAAAGTCATATTGAAGAAGAAAACCAAAACGGGAGGCATCACCATCCCAGACTTTAGCCTTTACTACAAAGCTGTCATCATCAAGACAGTACAGTATTGGCACAAAAACAGACACATAGACCAATGGGATAGAATAGAGAACTCAGAATTGGAACCAACAATGTATGGCCAACTAATCTTTGACAAAGCGGGAAAGAGTATCCAATGGAAAAAAGACAGCCTTTTTAACACATGGTGCTGGGAGAACTGGACAGCAACATGAAGAAGAATGAAACTAGATCATTTTCTCACACCATGCACAAAAATAAACTCAAAATGGATAAAGGACCTGAATGTGAGACAGGAAACCATTAAAACCCTAGAGGAGAAAGTAGGAAAGAACCTCCTTGACCTCAACCATGGCAATTTCTTACTTAACACATGCCCAAAGACAAGGGAATCAAAAGCAAAAATGAACTATTGGGACCTCATCAAGATCAAAAGCTTCTGCATGGCAAAGGAAACAATCCATAAAACTAATGGGCAACTGACAGAATGGGAAAAGATAGTTGCAAATGACATATCACATAAAGGGCTAGTATCCAAAATCTAAAAGGAACTCACCAAACTCCATACCCAAAAACCAAATAATCCAATGAAGAAATGGTAAGAAGACATGAACAGATACTTTTCCAGAGGACATCCAGATGGCCAACAGACACATGAAATGATGCTCAGAGTCCCTCCTCATCAGGGAAATACAAATCAAAACCACACTGAGATACCACCTCATGCCCATCAGAGTGGCTAAAATGAACAAATCAGGAGACTCTATATGCTGGCAAGGATGTGGAGAAACAGGCACCCTCCTACACTGTTGATGGGAATGTAAACTGGTGCAGCCCCTCTGGAAAACAGTGTGGAGGTTCCTCCAAAAATTAACAATAGAACTCCCCTATGACGCACCAGTAGCACTGCTAGGAATTGTCCCCAGGGATACAGGAATGCTGATGCATAGGGGCACATGGACCCCAATGTTCATAGCAGCACTCTCAACAATAGCCAAAGTGTCCATCAACAGACGAATGGATCAAGAAGATGTGGTTTATCTATACCATGGAATGCTACATGGCAATGAGAAAGAATGAAATCTGGCCATTTGTAGTAACATGGATGGAACTTGAGGGTGTTACGCTGAGCGAAATAAGTCAGGCAGAGAAGGACAGATACCATATGTTTGCGTGTATAGGTGGATTAGGAGGAACTTAACAGAGGACCATGGGGGAGAAGAAGGAGAGAAATAGTGGGGGAGAGGGAGGGAGGCAAACCACGAGAGACTCTTGAATGCCAAGAACAAACTGAGGGCTGATGGGAGTGGAAGAGATGGGAAGGAGGGTGATGGGCATGGAGGAGGGCACTTGTGGGGATGAGCACTGGGTGTTATATGGAAACCAACTTGACAATAAACTTTTTTTTTAAAAAATGAAAGTAGAACCTCCCTGTGATTCAATAATACCACTTCTGAATTTATATCCAAAAGCTTAAAATCAAAATCTCAAAGAGGTATTATTACCCCCTTATTTATTGCAGCACTATTCACAATAGCTAAGAGGTAGACACAATCTAAATGTCCATTGACAAATAAATGGATTTTAAAATGTGGCATAACATATAATAGAATACTATTGAGTCTTAAGGGGAAAAAAGAAAGAAATTTTCGGTATTTGACAACTTAGATGTAGCTGGAGGACATGACGCTAATAAGCCAGACACAGAAAGATAAATACTACAGTGCTCACTTCGGCAACACATATACTAAAATTGGAATGATACAGCGAAGATTAGCATGGCCCCTGCACAAGAAAGATAAATACTACATGATTCTATTTATATGAGATAGATAAATTAGTCAAATTCATGAAATCAAAGACTGGATTGGTAGTTACTGGGGGAGGGAAAGGGATAAATGAGGAGTCATTAATCAACAAACATAAAACTTCAGTTATGTATGATGAATACGCTCTACATCTGCTGTACAACATTGTGTCTATATTCAACAGTAATGTATGATACATTTAAATTTGTTAGGTGTATAGATCTCATGTTAAATGTCCTGACAAAAATAAACTGTTTAAAACAGAAAATATGTGTCAGTTTTAAATATTTGAGGTCCTCTAGTAATTCATAGGATGCTTATTATACCATGTAAATAAATATTTTTGACATGTAAGTCTGATCATCTCTCTCATTCTACCCCCAAAGCATTTCAGTGGCTTCCCATTGTTTTTAGTATTAAAGACCAAAATCAGGGGTGCCTGGGTGGTTCAGTTGGTTAAGCATCTGACTTCGGCTGAGGTCATGATCTCATGGTTCATGGGTTCAAGTCCCGCATCCAGCTCTGTGCTGATAGCTCAAAGCCTGGAGTCTACTTCAGATTCTGTGTCTCCTTCTCTCTGCTCACTCCCAGCTCTCTCTCACTCGCTCATTCTCTCTCTCTCTCTCTCACTCTCGCTCTCTCTCACTCTCTCTCTCAAAAATAAATACACATTAAAAAGAAGATTTAAAGACCAAAATCATCTATAGCATGGCCTTTGACACCCTGAATGATCCAGCCCCTGCTTTCCATACTCATGTTGCCTCCAAACACTTGCCCATCCTCACTCTATTTCCACTGCACTAGCCCCCTCTCTCTGTCCCTGCTATCACGGAGTTCTGGCACTTGGCCACTTGATTTAGGGAATTACTCACCCCACCCTTGAACCATATAACTCACTTCTTCCTTCAGACCTCCTCTCATCTCACATCTATTTTATGCTCTAATAACTCCTTGTACTTCCTTCTTTTTTCAGCATTTATCACTGATACCATTTTAAATATATTTGTGTGATCATGTGATTACTCTCTGTTTTCCCAACCCCCCACCCCCAGACTCCACTGCATGAGGGTGGGAGCTTTACAACTGGCTTTACTCACCATGGTTCACCACTGAGTAACAGTGTGCTTGGAATCGAGTAGGTGCTCTATGAAATAAATATTATTTTACCTCGACAAAATAAGTAAACTTGAATTTATGCTCATCACTTGTGACATATGACTTTGCAGGCTCCATATTGGGCAAGTTTCCATACAGGCTGCAGATTTCTACCCTGAGTAAAGATCTCGCCACAGGAATCCAAGGGAGGGCATGGAATACTACCTACATCATTGAACTCTAGTTTCTCTGAGAGGATTTGAAATTACCAAAAGGTTGAGGGAGGGAGCAGAGCCTGAGTGGTTCAGATGGTTAAGCATCTGACTTCAGCTCAGGTCATGATCTCCGGGTCTGTGAATTCAAGCTCTGCATCAGACTCTGTGCTGACAGCTCAGAGCCATGAGCCTGCTTCTGATTCTGTGTCTCCCTCTCTCTCTGCCACTCCCCTGCTCACACTCTCTCTCTCTCAAAAATAAATAAACATTTAAAAAGTAAAATAAATAAATAAATAAATAAATAAATAAAGCAGTGGTGATTTTCCAACTGCACTTTAAAATTACCAAAAGGCTGGGAGAGCCAAGATGTGCCCGAGAAAGACCTGTTAACTGCTCATTCTTCCACAGTTACTCTGCCTTGTGAGTTAATCTCCTTTTACATAATATGAGGATTTCAGACTATCTGACAATATTGATTTATTTTTTGGTCTTTCTGAAAAGAGCCAAATTTTTATGGCTTGGAAATCTTTTTGTTTGTTTGTCTTTCAGCTTAGCATATCTTAACTTCAAACTACATTTAAGTTGGAGAAGCTAAATGCACAAAAAGAGTACACTTGATACATCAATCCCGGGGATATCTCTTCCAGGAATCATGGCATCCTAAGAGTGGAATGGACCTAAGAAAAATCATAACCCATCCCCTTTCATGCTCACAACTCCAAGTCATTCTGTGCCTCTCACTGGCATGTTCCCTGAAGTAAGGGCAATATGTTCCACACACTTTAAGGGAACTTGGAGCAGAACTTTATGCAAGTTCTGTGATGAAAGAGCAAAGAAAGTTGTATCTCTCCACAAAGATCTAGAGAAATAGGAAGGGGTGATCCAGAAAAGGGAGGGTATGTGGGAACGGGACTTGGGGAATGAATAACAGGAAAAGGAAGAACTGGAGAAAATAGTGAAAATAAAAAAACAATAAAAACCAAATTCTGGAAACATGCACAAATTGAGATAGCCCAGGAAATGAGTCAGAAGAGGGTTGGCTTAAAAAAAAAAGTCAACCAAAGAAAAATAAGGAAAATTAGAACGGCTTTGCTGTTTTGTTGTTGTTCTCTTACAAACAGAAGCTTACAATTACTATCCAAGGCAAAACGTAAGAGCTGTTATAATGTACTGTATGTCTGGGGCTGAATTTTTTGGGATAACATACAATAGCCCAAGGATATATGCAAACCAGATAAAAAAATTCAGGATGCAAAATAAAGCATACCTTACATTTGTGTTTAAAGAACTCATACTGAGCAACTAATAATAATTCTTCCAAAATGCTTAAGTTTTCCTTCTCTTCACCAGCTTCCTCACAATGTGTTCACCCACACACACCCTGATGTTAGTGGCACATAAATCAAAACTTCCATAAAAATAAAATAATAACTATATGAGCACAGGAGCTTCCTGATATTTGCAAGACTCCAATCCACATATAGTCCTGGGCCTGACCCACTAACATTAAGAAGCCAATCTTTTCTTAGTTCAGTAATGGGGAAGGTACTACCAGCCTTATTTTACATATGCTCATGCACATCACATACATATGCTCTGTAAACAGCAAGTTGTCCCCAAGAAATTACTTCAGAATTGTCATATGAGATACTGCACAAGGTGTATAAACTCTTCCTGACCACCAATTTGCAACCAGGCAGTGACTAACTATCAAAATATTTGGAAAATCTGGCTCAATGTATTTGTGACCAAAAGCAGTGTAAGGAAAAGATGTGCCATTGCATGGGTGTGACATCTGCAGTAGGGAAACCATCTCTTAGGACAAGAAATTTGTATGCAGTACAGGACACTCTGCACCTGAGGAAGATCTAATGCTCATCAACAATAAAGCAAATAACAGTTACCTCTGAAAAATAAACAAAAACTCTTTGAAAGGGATAGGCTGCAGATCATATAGAATCATCTTACTGAAAAACTGTCAAGAAGGAGACACAGTAACTCCCTTTCTTCCAAAGACTAACTCCCTGGGAGGGGCTCCCAGAGCAGTCTTCAAGTCTGTTGACTTGTTTTTTCAAGCTGTTAATGTAACTTGCAGCTACGTTGGTTTGTTTTGTTGTTGTGACATGGTCTCCATAGATGTGCATTGAAATTGTGCCCAGCTGCACTGAAGCCAAGAACCATGCAATCTGGAGGTTGTGCAAGCAAGATTACAAGGCTCCAAGGTATCCACTGCCTGCGCTGCTCATCTCTTCGGCTTACCTCGAAGCTTGGCTTTCCGGCTGGGGCAACGAATGCTGCCCTGGGACCAGATCCAAATTCTTTAAGGTAGCAACTACATTTGCCGAGAAGTAAAGCTTTATATTGATGTAAGGGCCTTATTTGCATGTCTAGGGAATGGTCAGCGACAATTTTTAAACTGGTCAGGACCAGTTTTAGGACCAGATTGTTTTCAGTTGCCCCTCTTTCTTTTGGTATACAGCCTAATTTGACCATTTTTATTCCTCTATGGAGTCCATTATCCTCATACTTTCTTTATCTCCTGTCTCTCTCAAAAAATAACTTGAACAGCTCATTTATATGAGACTGAGTAAATAAAAATATAGGACATCCTGTTAAATTTTAATTTCATATAAACAACAAATAATTTTTAGTATGACTATATCCTATGCAACATTTGGAACATACTTATACTAAAATTAACATTGTTTATTTGAAATTCAAATTTAACTGGTTGTCCCATATTTAATGTAGCAACCCTATATTAAAGAGTAAATGACTCATGATGTCTTTACTTCTACCAAAGGTATTGACTTAATTTTAACTCTGGGTCAAAGTCCCACAGCTTAAACCAGTTAATAATTAGGATATTTTTAACAACAAACTAGAAGAAAAATATGTGATATATGGTAAGCAATCATTTACTATGCCTAGCCATAAGGAGTATTTTTCTAAATTGGAAAAAATTGTAATCCAGAGACAGAAAGTAGAGTATGATTCTTACCCTCTTGGATTAAGGCTACTGGTCAACATTTAATTCAAATCAATGTGATTACTTTTGTTCATTGGTGCTCTATTCTTCTATGATTCAAAGATACAAGCTCCTCCCCCAAAGTATCTATTCTCATAGCATCTCCAGTGGTGGCATTAGCTGAGTAATCTAGGCTTCAGCTCATACTCCATCAACAAAGTTGTTTGTTTTTTTTTTAATTTCTGAGAGAGAGAGAGAGAGAGAGAGAGACAGCAGGGGAGAGTTAGAGAGAGAGGGAGACACAGAATCTGAAACAGGCTCCAGGCTCTGAGCTGGCTGTCAGCACAGAGCCCGACTGTGGGGCTGGAACCCATGCACCGTGAGATCATGACCTGAGCTGAGGTCGGACGCTTAACCAACTGAGCCACCTAGGCGCCCCTCAACAAAGATTTTTTACATGTCATGTCAATTGAAAAAGCTAAGTATGAAATATGTACTCTTTAAGTCCTCAGAAAGCCTATAGTTAGGGTAAGGGAAAGGGAAGAGTTGAGAAAAGAATGGTAATCAAAGAGCAAATAGGAGGAGAATGGAGAGTAAAATAAAGAAAATTGAGTCAGTCTAAAAAATGTAAATAAGGGACACCTGGCCGGCTCAGTTGGACAGCATGTGACTCTTGATCTTAGGATCATGAGTTTGATCCCCATGTTGGGTATAGAGATTACATAAATAAATGTTTTAA